TACATCATTCATGAGATGTTGAAAAGCAGTTGGTGCATTCGTGAGTCCAAAAGGCATGACATTGTATTCAAAGTGTCCGTACCTGGTTCGAAACGCAGTCTTCCATTCATCTCCTTCTTTGATCCGTACTAGATTATATGCTCCTCTTAGATCTATTTTTGTATAGATCTTAGCTTGATTTAACTGGTCAAGGAGTCCTGATATCAAAGATAATGGATACCTGTTCTTGATTGTGATCTTGTTGAGTCCTCGATAGTCAACACACATTCGTAAAGATCCATCTTTTTTCTTTACGAATAAAATTGGAGCTTCTGCTGGAGATTTTGAATGGCGTATGAAATTCTTCGCTAAATTCTCGTCAATATATGTCTTGAGTTCAGCCAACTCATCTTGCGATAAACTGTAAATTGGTCCAAATGGTGGCTGAGTTCCTTCCTTGAGATCGATTGAACAATCGTATGGGTGATGCTCAGGAAGAATATCTGCATTCTTTTTCTCAAAAACGTCTTGATAATCCTGATATTGACTTGGAATGCCACTTGAAGTCTTTACGCTTTCAGAAATAGGTGCAGCATAAATAGCAAAAGTTGATCCTTCTTTTGCTGCGTGTATAAATGCTTTTGCACCTATAAGTGCGGGTTTTACTATACTAGACTCATGGTTTTTTACTTAATTAATAGAACTGTTACTAATGCTCCGAGGAAAATCAAGTTTACGAGAAATCCAATCTATTCGAGGATTATACTTTTCTAACCATGATAAGCCTAAAATTACTGGATTAGAGGGAGATCTAATTATATTAAAAATTACGCAACTACTATGACCATTTATTACTACATCTACAGGAAGTGTTTCGTGAGTTACATCTCCAGAAGACAACGGACGACCATCTATGACTTCTACGTGTACAGGTTTAGTTTTTTGTTATAATGATATTCTATGACATCTAGCAAATTCTTCATCTAAAAAACAAGCTGAGGCTCCTGAATCTATCAAGGCAGAGGCTTTGTAATTATTAGGTCCTAAACGCACATCTATTATAAAACAAGGAGATGGTTCTGAGGAGAGGATAGGACCTTCATTAGAAGTTGTACAAGATTCCAGCCGCACGGTCCCTATTGTAGCTGGACGTACTCGTTTTCTGACATACTGTCTTCTTTGACAGCCTTACTCCTCATTTTGTAGTTACGTCGCTTCTTTGGACAATGTTGAGCAGTGTGCTTAGGTTCTCCACAATATAAGCACAATCCTTCTTGTCGACGACGAGACTTTTCTTGCTCAATAAGAGGTTTGAAACGTACCACATCAATTTGCATATCCTCTACTTCTGAAGATATGTGTTGAGGAGACGTCGGTGTTGCCATTGAATTGTAGTAACGTTGAGGCCTACTTGTGCGACTCTCGGATCGAAATTCAAAAAGTCGATTGTCGCACTTCACAGCAAAGTCAATTGCTTGACTCAATGTTTGAGGATCAGGTAAATTAAGCATCAATTTCTTTACCTCATATTGTAATCCGTAGAGAAATTGACTCACAAGTGCGGCATCATCCCACTTGATATCAATTGTAAGTTGTCGAAATTGCGAAGCATATAATGTTACTGATCGATTGCCTTGTCGCAAAATACGGATCTTGTTGGTTGTAACACGAATTGCATCATGTTCTCCAAACATGGATCGAAACTCCGCCAAAAAAGCCTCCAGATTATCCAATATTGGATCTCGTCGTTCAAGAAAAGATGAAAACCATGACAATGCTGAACCTGAAAGAAGTGTACCAATGAATCTAACTTGTGACCCTGGAGTTGGATAGCTCTGGGGTTGAAGTTCAATCACTAATTGGACCTGATTGATGAATCCTCGAAACTTGGATCTGGTACCATCAAACTTCTCGGGCAAGGCCACTCTCGGTTCTCTAACACTCGAAGGGTGTTCCATTCTGGGAGAAGGGACATGGTTTGGTGCAGATGTTGAAGCAGCCCCAATCATCTCTATATCTTCACTTCCTACCATTCTTGTTGCTCCTTGTGGTGGTAAATTGAGTTGATGCATCGCAAGCATTAACTCCCTCAATTGTTCTTGCATCTGTGCCATTGCACTCTTCATTTCAACAAGCTCTGCCATAGTAGCACTTAGAAAAGAGAAGATGTCTAATAACGCTCAAAACAAATAGAAGAGAGGAATTGATAACAAAGAAAATACTAAGAACAATATCAGTTTAAAAGAGGGTAATCCGCAACTTCTAATGCGCTTATGTCTTATCAAGAAAAAGGGGTAATCCACTCTTAATCAAGAAAAGACAAAGCTCTCATATTGTAAGTGTACTCTTGTCAATCTGTCAAGGACAAGAACTCGATGAAAGCTAAAGAGTAAGTGAGACTTTTCTCAAAGAAATAGGACAAAATAGAAATATGTATATTAAGAAAGAAATTAGAATGGCTATTGCCAAAATACAAGAAAACTAGAGACCCTTGAAACTAGACTAGAAGCAAGAAAGGAGTTGACAAGAGTGAAGAGGGCTTCACTCTTGCCTCTATATATACTATCTAACTAGAAGCCACATGGCGATGTTCTATAAGACCTCCAATATATGTTGACTTTCTAGGCCACATGCCTTTGCTTACAAGGCAAGTTTTCTATGGATGGACCACGTAGTTAGCTTGTTCTTTAAGCTTCCAACATGTGTGGCACATGGCTAACTTGTTGACCAAGTTTCTAGCCTAAAAGTCAACTATAGACTCCTATAAAGTCAAAGCAACGTCTACGAAGCTTCTAAGAAGCTTCTCTAGAAGATATTACACAATTAACCTACTTTTATCTACTTTTACATACTTTTATCTATTCATATAGGTAATTATATGTATGTCCGTGACACAGATTGGTTGAGGCCCATATTAAGACCTGGATTTTTCCGTAATTAGACTACATTGGGTTGCTCGGCCAATTCAGGTCTCATATTGGGTAAGAGGACCCGGATTGGATTCTTGAAATTGGATCCAATTGGCTCTTCGAACCAGGCTCATCCGTTGTGTGAATTGGTCCTTTCTCTTCCTGCTGACTCCCGTTATTGGAATTGAATGGAGCATTTCAGTATGCCTAGGCTGACTGTAACGGGGTGACTGAACCTGGCCACTTAGTATTTGCACTGGAGTTGGTCGTTGCTCCCAATATTCGAGGTAACTGAACATTAATAAAAGTCCCCTTTCTTTATATTTTCATGGTATACTCGTGTTACAACATGACAACGGGTTAGGAAACGGAGGGAACGCGGGTTGAGAACAAGTGGGTTGGGATCAAGGCCATTTTAATAATAAGGGTCACTTTAATAAAAGACTGGATCACTTTAATATTTCTCTGTTTTTATTACCTACCAAGTAAGGCATTTATTCCTCTAAAAAATTAAGACTATTTCCTCTAAAAAATTAAGACTATATTTGAATTTTATTGTAAGACTTTTAAATAAAAATATTACCTAAACAAGTGCAAAAATATCATCTTTGCTTGATATATAATATTTTGATAAATGTAGTGTTATTAAAAAATAAATCAATTCTTATAATCATTAAAAAATATAAAAATTAATGCATCTGTAATATTGGATATATATATATATATATATATATACGGTATTGCTAATGCCACCATAGTTATTGCTACACCTACCATAACTTGTCATCCACCACATGTGATCACAATTTTTGTTAATGCCACAAGTTGTCATAAACTTGTGTTGTACATTATAATATATTCTATAGAACACTAATCTACATATCCATAAAGAATGTACACTTTATCAATTGAGGTGTGTATTAGCAATTTTTTTTGTGAAATACATTATTGTATACAATATAAGTTTAAAACAACTTCTAGTGACATTAACAAAAAATGTGATGGTATGTGTTGAATGGCAAGTTGTGGTTGCAATAGCAAAGTTTGTGGTAGCAATAGCAATAACAATACCAAATTAATAAATAAATATATCAATAAACAAAATACCTTCATTCAACTTTAATGATGCTTCAAGATTTGTATTAGAATTTTCAAAATATCTATTATAGAACAAAAGTATATTATGAAAATACCACATAAGTGTATTGATGAAATGTATAATACAATATTGAGTCATCTTTATAAATATTGTTTCTATAAAGTGATATTTTATGAATTAATATATAAAATTGGATATAACTCAACAAGCTGTAAAATTGCAGCAACTTTGCCTTCATTATTTGAATGCAAAATATGATAATATTTTTATATTAGATTGTAAAATTATTTGTAAGTAGCTTCAATTTGCAAGTTTTTTTTTTTTGTAAGAAACTCTTCTTTGCACAATTTCTTGAAAATGACTTTTATTTAAAAACCAAGACAACAAAAATATATGTTTAGAAATTGTGCATAAAAGAGTTTCTTACATTTAACTTTCATAAAAAATTAAACACTTTAAATTTCCAAACACTTCAAAACTTCTATTATAAGACTTAGAAAAATAATTCTTAAAAACAAGCTCTTTTAAAAGAATCTCTTCAACTTTACATGCAAAATCGTGAATAAAACAAGTTTCAGGTCATCCTTAATTATGTTACCTCTTTTCAAAATTGCACTCATATTCTAATTTACTTATCTTCTTGTGTCTCACACATCCATTCAAACCACTTTACTTTGTAATAACACATTCAAATTTTGTTCTTCTTATTATTACTATTATTAATACCCAGCTCTTTATGCACACAACTACAAACAAATCTTTCTTTTTGGCAGCCTCAAAGAAGATCCAAACTCCAGCCTCCACCACTCGGGAAAAAGTAACTTTTAGGGTTACCCGGGACTTTTTCGATGTCCGACAACGAGGATAGTCCATCTCGACCATATTCCCAAACCGGAGCTCACGTGGAGGCGAAGTTCGTATCCACGTCAGCTCGATGGGTCGGCGACCATCAGTCGGTACGAGGTCGGTGCCGTTTTCTAATCCACATCGTCATCTTCATGTGAGTAAGCTGCTGCTTCTGCTGCTGTTGCTGCTGGAGTAGTAGCTTCAGAATTGTGGCTCTGTTTCAGTTTTTTGAGTGGGAGGGAGGGATTGATTGATTGATAGATTGATTGATAGATTGATTTTTCCGTGCCGTGTTAGCAGCAATAGAAGAATAGAAGGGCACTATTGCATGCGATGAGCACGGCCAAAATGCTGCGACGATCCACCGAAGCAGTGGCACTGCGCGGGGAGGTGGGGCGGTTGCCACCTTCGTTGTCTGGAATCGCTCGCAGATTCTCTTCCTCACCCTCTTCCTCTTCCTCGCTGGCGTCGCCGAACAATGTGGCAGAGGCGGCCACAGTGGCGGAGGCGTCATCGTCCTCTGGCGGGACTGTGAGTAGTGGGGGTGAGGAGACCGCGCGGCCCGGGAGCTTGTTGTGGAGGGTGATTAAGTCGAGTGTGCTGCTGGCTTCTACGGCTGTCGCGGGCGGAGCTGCCTATGTGACCTATGGTGAGGTTCTTGTTACATTTTTTGTGCGACGAGGATGTGTGGTTGTGGCTTCTGTTGTTGGAATTCTCCGGTGGTTTTTCTTCTTCTTATTTTCTAGTTAAATATATGATTAGGCTGCGTTTCTTTTTCTTTCTCTCTTTCTTTGCTTCCGGAATTTCGTTGGTGATGGACTGGGTGTAATTCGATGAAATTCTCTAGCTAGGTGTGGTGAGGAACTTCTTTGCGCTTCTGCATTGTGCAATTTTGGGAATGAACAGGTTTTACAGGTGACCAGTAGAGGAAAGTGGGTCAGGATACCTAGTTAGAGTTAGTCGCATACGTGTGGGGATAAATTAGTGATTCCATCTAGCGCTGAGTCTCAACTGGGGCACGAAAATGCCTATGCATTGAAGGAACCGAGCTCTGTCGAATGTAGGTCGTAATATTGTAGGATTAGGGTTAGGGTTATATATGTTTTATCATTTTGATTACATTTGTCTGATTGGGTCGTTTGACGTCTGCAACGAACATGTTTTTGTCAGCCAAGGATGCAGCTGTTAATGTGATCAAAGTTGATGATAGCAAGCATGTTTCCATTAATTCATTAGGTTCTGTTCATAATTTCGTGAATTCCCACCAATTTTATGGAGTGTCTTATCTGGTTAAGTTCTACATAACCTGTTTTAAGGAGTAGTAGCATTTAGAGAGGCATTTTTGAGCGTTTCTCTTTTGGTGTAAGGTTAAGCAAGGTAGTTTGTATCTCGTGTGTTTGCTTTCACGCAGTACTAGTGTTTTAACGTATCTATTTTTTTCATCCGATTCTGGAACCATGCAGCTTTCGATGTTGATACTGTGGAGCAAAAATTGTCTGCTTTGAAGTCCGCCAAAGATTTTCGGGCTTCTGATGAGGCAAACATTTTCGAAGTAAGTCCTTTACTTGTTTTTTCTTTTCTTTCCCACCGATTGTTGTTTCATGTTGGAACGTGATGAAATCCAATTCAATTTTTCGTGTGGGGGCTTCGATGTGAATTTGAATGGTCAGTTGAGTTCAAAGTGCTTCATTTTAGACTGACCTTGTGTACCATGCTCCCGTCATTTTGGCGTGGTTTTTAATCTGGAATTGAAAACAAATTAAAAGATTATGTTTTTTCGTTTTTAGATTTGATTTTTATTGTATCCGCTTGTCAAGTACGAGGTGATGGAATCTCATGATTTTTCGAAGTATGATCCAGTGACTTATCACACGAGGAAATAGGATGGTTGTAGTCTAACAAGCTAGAAAAGTTCTCATACTTTTTGTATTGCGTGTGCATTTCAGAAGTTACGCACTGCGGTTTACACAACTTCTCTTGGAGGTTTGTTCCAGTCATCCCGGATATGGTTTCTCCTAAAGATATGGATTACTAAATGGGTTTTTTGAGTGATGCTTGCTTTCGATCATATAGTCATCCTAGCATCTGAACGCTAGTGGGCTTTTTGGCATTGTTGGAAGGCAGCTGGTACATCTGTGGCGGAATTCTACATTGATACACGAAAGAATCTTGAAGATCAAATTCGCGTAAGTGAACTTAAACATTCCTCATCAAGTTACTTTCAAGGGTCTCGATTTAAACTTTTTTCTTAGCATCTTCTCTGTGGGCTGACGATACTTTTGGTCTTAATGAGGAGTTTATTCTGTTCTTAACCACCAGTAACAGGTAGCTCACAATGCCGTTCCTTAGTTTGAGGATTTCAAGTTGGTTTGAGTAGATGCAGCGCCTGTGTCGACTGTTACTGTTGTTAATTCTTTGTCTGGAACTTTCCCATATAATTTACCCTCATCTTTATTGAGTGAATTGCTGGCTTTGGTGCAGGGAATTGCAGCTCCATCTTCTAGCAAGTTGTTGCCAGATTTACTTCCACACGAGAAGGGCACGTTCACACTTGTCTTGGATCTTAATGAAACTTTGCTTTATTCTGACTGGAAGGTGAGCTTTTCGGCTTCTTATGTTCAATGCTGAGAGAACCCTTCTTTCATTATGGGGTTAATCGAGGTATTCGATTTCTTTGTGCCTCGGTTTGCTTGCTTGCTCTTGCGACTTGATATTGTTTATTTATGAAGAAGAGTTAGGTCTATGAACTTCGTTGTCAGAGCTGTGTGACGTTGTACAGTTTGTACTTTTCCTAGGTTGTGGCGGTGTTGACACACAATGTAATTCACAGAGGGATAGAGGTTGGCGAACTTTCAAACGACCTGGAGTGGATGCGTTTTTAGAGAAGCTTGCTCAGCACTATGAGATAGTCGTCTACTCTGATCAACTCAACTTCGTAAGTTAACTTCCTCACGTCTTCTCTCTCTCTCTCTCTCTCTCTCTCTCTCTCTCTCTCTCTCTCTCTCTCTCTCTCTCTCTCTCTCTCTCTCTCTCTCTCTCTCTCTCTATTATTATTATTATTATTATTATTATTATTATTATTATTTTATTTTAAATTTCTTTAATGTGAACAAGTGGTAATGAGAAAGGGGCAGGCTCTTTCTCCAATCAGTTTGCAAGTTCTTGTACTTACTCTTTGGAGAGCTTGCACATGTGCTCTGAGGATGTTTTATGTTTTTGGCCACTTTCACTTATCATAATTTTGTAAACAGTACGTTGAACCGGTTCTGGAAAGACTGGATCAGAAGGGGTGCATAAGGTACAGATTATCGCGGGACGCTACACAGTACACCAATGGCAAACATCTTCGAGTAAGTGTTTTCAACCGCTGATGATTGTATGTAGGAGGGAATTAAGTGTACACGAGTCCATGTTTCTTGAATGTCGGTAGTTTGCAGATTGTGAAAGACTTGCCGAGCATTGTGACTACGATGACCTACACATTTTGGTGTAACAGAATTAAATTTTATGCAGGACCTGGAGAAGCTGAACAGGGATCCATCCCGTGTGATTTACCTTAGCGGGCATGCCAAGGAAACGACGTTGCAACCCGATAATGCCCTTCCTGTGAAACCATGGAAATTAGAAGCCGATGATACAGTTCTTCTCGACATGCTTCCTTTTCTTGAATGTATGCATCTTTCGATCCAATATTAGCTGGTTTTACAAACTTTTCAATTCTCATGCCGGCTTTTGAGTTTCTTTTCATGTTTCTTAGACACTTTTATTGAGATTAACGACTTTCAGTATGTGATTAATCTAAGCTCAATTCCTGAATGTGGATATTGCAGTTGTCGCTAAGCAGAGACCAGCTGACATTCGACCTGTGTTAGCTTCATATGAGGGTTTGGATGTCCCCACAGAATTCCGGGAGAGAACCAAGGAATTACAGAGGTGATGTCACGAACCAGATGGCGATAGTTGAGAGCCCGGTATTCAGAGACGATGTTACTTCGTTCTGGCTCCTACACCTCTTGTGAAGGTCACTGATGTTATTTATTTATTTATTTATTTATTTCTTACAGGAAACTGGCGGGACGCAAGCAGACAACTCGTTTATGGAGAGGATCATCGGTTTGACCATCACTTAAGAGCTGTTCACTTTGTTAGCTAGTTGCTGAATTGATTTTCTAAAGCTCGAGATGTTCGAAGATGGAAATCTTTGACATGAGTTTGGATCAATTCGAAGATTAATCACAAGTCTTCTGGATGCCCTTGAATCTTTGTATGGGGATCTTTGGCTTTCACACCGGCAAATAACTTGACGAGAATGTTGTGTGTTTGCACCACATTGTGATGTCCTCACGCTTTTGTTTGATGGGTTGTCTCGAAGCGCTTGTAATGCAAGAATTATTTTGAGCTAAATTACAATTACGGATCTCAGAATATTTGTGAGGTTGGCAGACGTTAGATGTGAGAGTTGGCCCATATCTGGTTGAGAGTAGGTGAAGAGATGTTTTAGGATACTTAAATTTCAGTAGTGTTGACTTTGGACGCTTGGTTCCCATGGAACATCCCCATAATTTTATTTGTTCTCACAATGATGTATTGAAGAGTAGAGATGATTAAAAGTTCTTAGGTGACTGTTATATTCTATCTTTGTATTGAATTGGGTGCGAAATCATTGCTTTGTTTTTTTTACAGTGTTAATCCTTTCTGACAATGTATTTGTTTCGTTCACTCGCAACGTTTTACAGATGTAACTTATTTCATTACTGCTTGTACTCGTACATTCCACTGCTGAATTTCTTGCATGAATTAGACATTGAAACTGTTTGATTCCTTCGCACTGCTCACGTTTTAGAATGCTAGTACTTGAACAATGATCTCGATGATCACCTCAAGGTTTTAAATCATTCAAACATGTATTAAATTCTTCAAATGATTTAAAAGTAGTAAAATCATATGTAACGTTCATATGATTAGAATTGAATGTTTAGAATTCTCGATCAAGAAGACTGGGTTTCTTAGTAAGGTGTGAAAAAAATGTTGTAAATAATTCAGCCAAGTGTTTCTAATATTTATTTAAATGAATGATAGAATTATTTTTAATCCGCACATTTAATAATGTATCGAATGACGTTATGCAAAATACATGTGTTCCATTGCAATTGTAATTACTACTGAAAAAAGAAGAACAAATATAGTAAAAGCCAATAGGATGTTGTAATAAACATCCAAGATTCTGTCGTAAGTACTAATCTCATATTTAACCCGCTAAAAATATTTAAGTTATATGAAAGTAATTTAAACTTTATTCTTATTAACCATTCATGACGTTGCTGAGATATAAGATTCTATAAATTTACCTTAAGTTTCTAAATCATATAAGAAACTTCAATATCAAATAAATTAATACATTGTAAGAACAATTACAAATCACTAACAGGAGATTTCAAATAACTCATTTAATGGCCTAGGTCCATCCAATAGTTCGTCCTGCATGCAGATTTTGAATGTTTTTTAATTAAAATTTTGAATTTCGATTCTCAAGCCTATGGATGAATATAAATATAACGCATATTCTATAATGAATCTGAATTGTGGAAAACCCTGTTTCAAACAATAGATTATATCAATCAGATAGAAAATTTAATTATAAATAAATAAATCAACTATGTAATGTAATTCACCTCATTTGTATTTAAAACTAAAATATAAAATAGTATTAGATATTTAGTGAAAATATTGTACAAAATTTAGTCAATGTAATCTAGAATAAATTTATATGAAATAAATCAATGTATCTTACGATTTGAAAACTGGAATGAATTGAATTTTTTAAAAATAAAAAAATAAAAAATTATCAATCAAATGCATTTTTACACATTTATATAATAATAAAAAAAACTATGTATTAGTTTGGGAAAATTTTCAGGTACATCTAATTATCAAGGTATACCATGAGTGGAATACTAGAGTTTTATTTATTAATTTATTTTTTATTGCTTTATTTTTGTGATGTTTTCAAGATTTATTAACTTTGAACTGTTCTTTAAAGTGGATGCCATTTAAATTTGTCATTTCAACAATGCTAAAAACCAACTTTTTACCTTGAAAGAACTAATAATCCGTCTTTTGTTTTGGTAGTGTAGTCACAATCCAACCTTTTATATTGCAAAAATTATCATTTAATTATTAAATATATCAAAATATTTCAAAGTATTATCTGCTATAAATATCACGTCATTTAATTCCCTTAAGACTGCAAATAGTTACGTAACAATATTTTATATTGGTAGAAAATAATGTTTGTTTTACATTATATTTATATACTCTATTTCGTAAATTCATCAGCAAAACTCTACAATATTTATCTTTATTTAAAAATTAAATAAATGTGAATAAAATCAACACCAACGATTAACAATGAATAATCAATATAACATACTTTTATAATGATGTATTTGATTGATTGATAGATTGAATTTCATAATTCAGACAACAATTTATATTTCTTTAACAACAAAACAATTGATTTCTTAGTCATTGATTTATATATGTATTGGTGTAAATAAATGATAGTTAATAAAATTTGATATTTGAAAATTTACCATCTGAATTTTGTTTTTTGTGTTTTTTGTTTTTTTTGTTTTTTTCTTTGATTTTCCATTATTGCATTAGAGGTATGGTTTTACACATAATATATCAGATCAACCAATATTTTCGTCTAGTGTTTGATTGGAACTTTTGATGTTATAATCAACAATATTCATAACTCCTAATATTTTGTCTGATGCTAAAGTATTACATTGAAAAGTTTTGCTATTATAAAACTTACATTTGTGGCAAAAGTGTCCCGGTTTGTCACACAACAAACATGTAAAAGAGTCATTTGAAGGCCACTTTACATTGCTTTTTACTTTCCCATAGAATTTCACCTTACAATCAAGTTTTTTTCCTTGACGAGTTTTTAAAACATTAATATTTCTATGTATCCTAGCTATGTTATTATTTGATGCATTATTTCCTTTGTTCCCATTCTCAATTAAGTTCTTCCAAGGCATAAAATGGTTTATATTATTGATTGAATACTCTTTAGAAGGTACAAGTGAAAGATTTGAATCTTCACTAGAAGTCCAAGAATCATGTGATTTTGGTGTAAAATCATCAATTTCCATAAATTGCTTAAATTGAGCTTTTTTCCTCAAAAATGCTAAACTTTTCCAATCAACGTGTTTGTAGTCTAAATGATGAAGTTTTGAATTGGTCAGGGATTGCAAAACCCCAAAAGATATTGCACTTGAATCACTTTGATTACTTATGCCAGGTGACATTGTATCATTATAATAATTGTTGCTTTCAAGAGTTTCTTGTTTGAAATGTCCCCAATTCATTAGAGCCACATTGTTGAGGGTTAATGAATCGTTTGCAAACAATTGAGGTTTTTTTTCAATTGGCAAACTATACAATTGAATTTCATTTTTTTCAAAATGTTGAACATTTTTGGTCTTTTGATTTTTATTTGTCGCATGTGTTTCTGAATGTATGCGTACACTTTCTGGTTCAAAAGACAGTCTTTTCAAATGAACAATTAGCTCATTAGTACCTAGTACACTATTATCCAGTACTGTTTTTTGACTGTGTGTGTTATTTACATGAGGTTCATTCTGGTTTGTAGGCTTCTCTTTGGCTTTTAAAGATAAATTTCTCATTTGAAAAATGATTTCTGGCTCCATTATTATTATTATTATTATTATGATTATTAGTATTTCTTTTAAGAAGGAAGTTTTATAATATCAAATGATTGTGTTTGGACATGTTTTATTTTCAAAAGAATTTGAAATAATTCAATTTTGATATTATAAGAGATAATTCGTGAATTTATCGAGTTATGACTTGAAATTTGCATTTACAATATGAGGTTTGAAATGGTGAAGGAATGTGATAAACAATTTTCATGTTCATATTTCGTATTCATATTACAGCTCTGATGTTTTAGTTGTAGCATTTGATTAAGTGTGTTTTGTAAATGATTGACGCAAATACTTTTATCTGAATCTATTGTGGTCATTTTAGGATGCTCAAAATCTGTTTCAGTCAAAACATTATATTCAATTGATCTACAACCTTTCATGTAACATTTAATCAGGTTATTGTGATGTATATATATATATATATATATATATTTGATCTATAACCAACCTGCATGTTTTTTACTTAATTATTTATTAATATTATCATTTGTTGGGTATTCATGTTTATTGTTTTTTAAAACATGTAAAGTAAAAATGATTGAAGATCACAAAAATTAAGATTGAAATTTGAAATTATTTATCTGTTCTTATGTTGTATGCAAAAACACATTGTTTTTTATTTTTTATTTTTTATTTTTTATTTCATTTTAATTCAAACTTACATAGTTTTCAATTCAGGTTTGTACCAATTGAAACTAAATGATAATTGATTAAATAATTTTCTTGTAAGAAATTTCTTATTGACAGTCAGATTATCATCCTTTCCTACAAACAACAAAAAGAAGAAGAAGAAGAAGAAGAAGATATCACTCTTGGAATAGGTCAATTTAAACCTACATTTCAGCTCATGTTTGAAAGCAGCAAACAAAAACTTAAAATTGCTATTAATCCACAAATTTATCACTATTATTAATAATATTACTGTTATTTTTTGCAGACTTGAATATGATGAATTACTATTTCAATCTATTGTGACACGGAGGAATTATGTGGATGTTTTTTATGTAATGGTTTGGTCAAGAAATCTCAAGGAGCTGGGCAATAGTCCAAAAGGGTGTGGCTTTGAATTCTATGGTTATTATATAGACTTATTGCATGGAGATTTAGCATCAACCAGATGATTTAATTTATTTGCATATAAAAATATAAAAATACTATTAATATTGAAATAAAGCAAATTATAAAGAAACAATATATGAAACTATTCAAACGTTCTGTTTGTGCTATGTTGTTAAAATATTACAAAATTTAGTTTTGAAAGCTCATAATTTTTTTTAGAATAAACATGTTTCTGTTAAATTCTAATTGCAAATCTATTTCTTGTTGTAAATTTTTAACCTAAACTGGGAACAAAATCACATGCATTAATCTAATTTCTACTGGTGTTTTTATGCAAAAGAAAAAATATCTACTTTTACAACATTATATGTTTGTTCTTATTTTTGTTTGCAATTGTATGTGAGGATAGCACATGCTATGATTTCTTATATTTTAACACTCCAATATGATATTTAATTTTTATTTTCATCTTAGCGTAACAAGTGTTGAATATCACATTATTGGTTAAAACAACTTAGAGATGTTTGTGTAGTCTAATGGTAGTTGAAGTACTTTATAATTTAGCATTTACACTTAAAATTTTATTTTAATTCAAAGCTTGAAAACTTACATGCACAATTATAATATTTTTATATAATTACATAATAAATAATGCAATTTATAACATAGAATTAAATATCATGTAATGATAATCCTTACAATCTTTTATTGACGAATGTTTTTGCCATTTAGTAGTACCAACCACTAAACAAAAGTTACTGAAATTCTTGATTCTATTAATAACAAAAGAATTTTAATAAAACATAATTACTTTATGATTAATTATTCTACAGACACCAATGTAATCACAACCAACTTTGTAAATATTATAATAGTTCTTGTACCAATTCCAAATATTTTTACAACATCAATTTTAAGATGTCTTATTTTCATAACAATCAATTTCATGTAATGCCATAGTCAATTGAGATTTTGCCAAAATTTTACTTTTAAAATTTTATGCATTTGAAATTAAAATTATTTATTTTCATTAAAAACTTGATATGTTAATGGCAATTTGCAAAATATGTAAATCATCTACTCCAAGAGCATTTCTTAATATTAATGCAAACGACACAGTTTTGCAAAATTCAGCATAACAAGTTTGTTTTCTTATTTAATCAAAATTTAAACAAAGAATTTTACCTCAATTTTATACAAGTGATATTTAATGTTAAAAAAGAACCATGCTTTACGAATTCAAATCAACAAGTAACAATTAACTTGGAAAAAAATACATTTTGCTCTCCAATATACAAGTTCTTGAAGCCAATGGTTTTCATTCGCTTCCATACGTAATGAAGTACAAAATTTTAAAAAAATATATGGGGACTTCTCTGAACACTCTTAATCATACCCACTTCAATAGAAGCTCTTTCTAGTATACAAAGTTATTGGCAATGTAAGCATGGGATACACCGAAGTTCAATGGCCATTAACAAGCTTCGGAAACAAAAAAATTTAAAAAATGTCCACAGATAATATATGAGAAAACAAAAATGTCTGTGCTTCATGAAAAATGAAGTCAGGAAAGCCTCCAGATTGCCTTCATCAAGCTCGAAAGCTGAATACATCAAAAACACAGACAGAGCTGAGAACTTATTACCAAAATCGAAACAGCCTCCAAAGGATCTCATTCGAATTGTGCCTTTCATGAAGTTCAATGAGACAGATGAAAGATCACCGACTCCCACCTTCCACTTCTTTCAAACGCCCAACTGTCACATTTCAGAATCAAGCTATTAAAATGAAACTCATAAAAGAACATACTCAGGTAAATGGAGATCCTCTTAATACAAAATCTATAAGATCCACATTGGCAACGGCCATTAATACAGGAGTCTCTGTAAGAAAAAATTGTCAAGTGGAAACTGCAGCTCACATGAACAAGGGCAAAATACTTCAACGTAGCACTAAACATTCACCAGAGTCCAACATGTGAATTAGATTTCGAGTTCCATTGTTCTATCAGAAAGTAAAAAACATCACTATACCTAAACACATGCAAGAGCTGGCGGAGATCCTTTCAAGTATGAAGGACTTTTAAGAAGGTGGTCACAGTCGCAGCCGCAGGTAGAGGAGCACAGTCCCCATCATCTGACCTCAACCCTAAGAACCTTTCTCTCCTGGTAAACATGAAGAGGCTATGGCAGACCTCAGAGATAAATGTTCAATGTATTCTAGCCGGATGCCGGTGACTGGGATCCTAGGTTCATCAACGAAAGATGAAAGAATTACTGAGCCAATTTCGTACAAGCCTTTCGCAGCCCCCCCCCCCTCCCCGAAAAAAAAGAAAGAAAAGGTACTACACACACACACTCTCCAAGAGCACCGAGAATTTCTTCTTCTTCTTCTCTCCTATACCATGTAACTAAAAGACCACCATATTTAGGGCATCAGAATTATCAAAAAATCTGCTCATCATCGAGCCCCTGCTCTAACTTTTTACACTCATAGTTCAACGCTCCCATTTTCTGTAATTCCGTTCGACATTTTCTCCTCTCTAATGCGACCATCCTTGCCTGACCTCGCAGTCATCGGCAGCAGCGGTGGTCCATTACTTAGTACACGCTCATTGATTCCGGCATCGACCAACTTCCGATCCACGAAAAAGAATACAAAATACACGGTGAACCAGGCCACGACAATGTCCACAGAGTAATGCTTGTGTGAGGCTATGATGAGAAGGCTCTGGGCTACCATCGCCAAAAACGCAACAAACTTCATCCACTGTCTCGTTCCATACTTGAGATAAGTATGGAAGAACGTCAGAGCGAAGGTCATATGCGAGGAAAAAATCAGGTCTCCACACCCATAAATCACTCCATACGGAAAATTCAAAAGCAGCACGTCTTTGATACTCTCCGGAGGCGGCAAAGTTGCCGTTGGCTGTCCTTCATGGCAATGATAGTTGGGCCCGGGTAATTGGGTCACCATGAAAGATGACATCCTCAGAAATTGGCAGATTATTAAACAAATAAGAACCCTCAACCACAGCAGCGCAGTGTAAAACCGCTTGTTGTAAAACACAAAAGGGTGGAATGACCATAGCACGAAAGATACAAAAACAAACGTGAAGAGACTCTCGCTTATGTGCGCTTTCTGTTTCCCAAGCTCCGGCAGATATTCAAAGCCAGCGTCATGAAGTAGCGGTCCTGGATGGTGTTGGTAATGCGCGATACGTGCACCAACTCCATGAACATACTGAAACAGCAACCCTCCTAATATCACCTTCCAATGCTCCATCAACAGTGCCCATTCCACCGATAGCTCAATAATCCCTCTCTTCCATACTTTCGAAACCTCACGGGTCACCGAAGTCGGCAATCCCATCACCCCCATCTCTTCTTCCAACGTGATATATTCCTCGTTACACCAAACCCACTACTACACCTTGTTCCCCCGTCCCCCACCAGCCCAAAAACCAAACAAACTATACATCAAGTAAAATAATAAATAAAAATACAAAAACAAAAACAGGAACCTAACCTACGCATATTGCTACTTCCAGCAAATCCCCCAAAAATCAGTCAACTTATAAACCTCGTCCATCTTTCCACCCACCCCTGCTGCTCAAACAAGTCCACTTACTTCTGGCGGACAATCTCACTCCATTCCATAGTAGCCTCTCTCTCTCTCTCTCCCTCCAAACTACAACTCTCTTCTTCCTCGCCCTCAAATCAAATAAATCATAACCACCTTACTACGTCTAATAACGAATCACCCACATAGAATAGCCCTCCACGCAGATTGCTCTCACCTCTCAACTCTCATCTCATCTCATCTCTCCCTCACTCACTCACTCACTCAACCCACACACATACCACCTCAAACGTACACAGAAAACAGGTAGAAGTAGTAGTAGTAGCAGAAGAAGAAGAAGAAGAAGAAGAAGAGGGGTCGGGGAGCAGTGAATGAATCCGGATTCACCATAGCCAAGGAGGGTTTGCAGCAGGTAGCAATCAGGGTTAGGGTAGTTAGTAGCCTTATACACGTCGAGTGGGACATACACATAGAAATCCCACAATATAAATCAGTTGCAGGTCCCCTCGTCCTCCTTCAACTCTCCGAGTCAGTTGAAGAATTGGGTGTTGTCCCTCCCCTGCCCCCTTCATTCCCAGAAACAACAGAGCACAGAATGCAACAAAAAGAAGAGGAAGAAGGAGAAGCAAAGCAAAGCAGTTCCGAGAACCAGGAACTGCAACAATAACAGTCAGTTGGGTGGGGTCCCAAAGGAAGGAAACAATAAGAAAAAGGGAGGAAGGAAGGAAGAAAGAGCATCAGCAGTAGGAATGGGAATAATAATAGAATTAGAAGCAGGAATAGCAAGCCCTTCCTCCCTTCCCCTTTATTGATTTATTTTGTTGTATGATTTTTCATTTATTTCATTGCAGATGGTTAGTTAGTTAGTTAGTTAAAAGAGGGGATTCAGGTTCTCAGGAGATTCGTGGTGGTAGATTGTGCTTTGCCTTTGCAATTTCCATGTTTCCACAACATTGTAACCTTTAATGATTTCTTTACCAGAATGGCTGTCTTTCTTCTCGACCCTTCTAAAGTTTTACTTGTTATACTCTTCTTTTTTAAAATTAATAAATAAAAGAAAAAAAGAGAAAAACTTCTTTGGCGTTTTTGTGTTTAGATTCTCTTCAAAACATTTTGTTTGCATTCTTCTATTTGTTTTTGCTTGCTCCTCGTGGCTAGTATCCTTCACCTTGTTTTTCTTGTCTTATTTGTGGTAAAGTTTTGTTTCTCTTCATCACTCATTTAATTTGAATTCTTGTTTTCAAATTGAATTACTCCTAACATGTGAATATTTCTTCTTATAGGTATTTTGCATTGTTTTTTTTTTCACAATGAATATTTCTTCTCATGACTAATATACTATGTGTAATGTTTGATTCTTAATATGATTTACATTAGCTTGCTTGTTGCTACTAATTTTATTCTATGTAGTTGTTTAGTTTTGATTCATATTGTTATTTATGTATGATTTAATTATCCTTTCATGTTTAGAGTTTATAACTTCTTGTTGGTAATTGTTGTTGATGTTGTTTCATATTTGAATGTGGTCACTTTTTGCTACTTAGTTTCTTCACCATTGTTTTAACAAGGTATTAGCTATAATTTAGTCTAAAAATTTTCATTTTAGCTATTTTAAAAATATATTCTATTTCAATATTTTATCTTGATTATAAATATATATTGTTAACATCTAATCTCTCTCCTACTAAATCTAGTCTATCTTCAAAACTTTTAAAGAATCAAACCAAGTATTGTTATTTAACAAGTTACCATCAATTTATTCTAATATAGATTTGTATTAACCACTAATTATTTTTGGTTTTTTTCTTCCTATAGGTAGATTTCTCATACATTTTCAATCAGATAACTTGTGTCTGTATAACCTGTATCTTTGCATATTAATTAATAAATAAATTTTTATATAAAATAATTTAAATAGTATACTAACTTATGATAAAAATTAGTTGTGTAAAAATAAAAAATATATAAAAAATATATTTTAAAATAAAATATAAGCACCTAAAAAAACACAAATAAATATGTTTTAGATTGCATATAAGAATTCTTTACATGAACTATTGTATTATTTCTACAAAACTTAATAATATAAATCTAATAAATTTCTTATCAATGTATAGTTCTATACTTTTTTTTGTATAAACCTCTACAATGTTTTTATTTTAATTGATAGATACGCATGCATAATCTTTTTAGATTCAAAATCCATGTTTAGATATAATGAATTACATGCATTTCTAAACTTTGGACTTTATTTATCATCATATGCTCTTTGTAAAATTGCAACACATTATTGTGCCAAATTTAATATCTTCAAATATTTTTGCAACTTTTATAATTTTTATTTTTTATTTAAGTTTTCACATCAACTTCTCATAAGAATGTTGATAATACTACTTTAAATATGTGTACATGTGTACAATATTCTTCTTAATAAGTAATTCTTCAAAAAATAATAACCTCTAATAATTAATCATAATTTTAGAAACCAACCTTGTTCTATGGTGTACAATTAATAACCTCTTGTTTCTAATAATTTATTAATTTTTTTATTAAATTCTATTAATTAACAAAGGTAAATAATATAGGCCACATGGCTTGTAGGGTTACATGGCAATACATAATTGGACAAGGCTACATAATGACCATAATAGAAGCAAGCAACCTAGACTCAAGGACCCTAGCAAGGATGATTTCTATTTTATCATTAATGTGCCAATTCTAATAATTAATATTCTCTTGTAATTAATACTTTTTCTTGCAACATATTATAATAATTAACAAGGAGGACTTTGTACATATATATTTTACTTCTTCACCTCTTACATTATTTTTAATGTCTTAAGAATCATTACTATTTTATAAAAAATAATTTTGAATTATGACCTCTGAATCTAGATGTATATAATATAATATATTCTTCAAAGCCATGTTATCATAGTTCAACAAAAATTGGGCCCTCATAATTGGTCACATGGAAAACCAAGAGAAGCAATAAGGAGAGTTACATTCAATGCCTGACTCTATGCCATAAGCTGTATTTAAAATAAATTGAAAAAGAAATAGCAATTATATGTTTGCAAAAATTACATCATTTGACATGTTCACCAAAATAACATGCACAATTTATGAAATAAAACTATTTATTTTGACCCATAAAAAAAACTTTTATATAAAGTATAATTGTTGTAGTTTTTATTAATTTTTGAAACCACCTATTTTGATAATAACGAATATCAGATATTTTCTTTTTTAAACACACACACACACACACACACACATATATATATATATATATATATATATACACTTTGCATTTTTTTATTTTTATGTTGTTTATTAACTTTTACTTTAGCTGTTGTACTGGTTTTACAACCACGATTTTTATACTTATCAAAAAAAATTCAAAGCCATTACTTAGACCAACGGTGGTCAAGATTGACACGTCACCACCTAGCTGCTGCCCTGACTAGTCTTATTAAACCGACAAGATCTTGCTTGGGCCATTGAAGGAACGGAGCAAGCTAGACAAGCATAGAGCGACAGGTGAAATGGCCCACCCACCCGTAGAGGGTGGGTGAAAAATCCATCCACCAAGGACAAGTCTAGGTCTCAATTTTCCCAGCCTGTCATGATCACACAACATGAATTTTCTATTGTTTTGCGCTCTTTGTCTTCTAGTAACACCATGTGATGGAGCGCAGGCCAAGGTCAGCTGTTACATGACTTGGGTGAAGGGAGAATTCGCAACTAAAATGACCTGGAAGCATGAAGTTGGAGAGAACTGAAGCTGATTACAACTGGAGCTAAAAACGGACATGATGATAAGTAGAGTTGTCCAGCAGCAAGAGAAGCGGCATTGGAGGTTCGGCACTGACGGGTTCAGCAGGGCTCTCACGTTCACGTCCAATCTGCTTCGTCCCGAAAGGATGGGCCGTGGTATCATTTCTAGGCAGCCTCGTCTTTGCAGGGAACAGGTCGAGCCCAGATGTCCACAGTGTCGTCACATATTCCAAAAGCGTTGACACAGTAGTAGATTCTTATGTGATCCTCAACCCTTCCTTGGATGACTCTGATTCACTTCACAAGATTGATATCATGGTAATTTCATCCCATTAATGGTTTTCAAGATTATTTCATATCATTGCAGGAGGATTGCGACCAATCACTGTACCGTTCTCTTAGTAGATTCGTGATTGAATAAAATGGAACATGAAAAGAGCAACGGCGCAGACAAATCCACGTAAAGTTCCAAATGACTTTTGACATTGAGGATGGTGATCGAGGACATTCTATGTATTCACCCCCAAAATTAACTTCTAGTCATAAGATAGAAACCATTTGCTTAGTTAGAGGTAAATCCATTACTGCACTGCCGTGCTGCAAAATAAGTACAGCATATTATGCAACATAAAAGCGATATTATGGCAGAAGCATCTGTAAAGTAAAAAGCATGAGTAAGAAATTGAAAAAACACATTGAAAACTAATTTACAAACCATGTGATGTGCAATGACAGCAAATCCATGTCGGACAACCTTCATTAATAAAGGCATTAATTTTGTGAGAAATATATTAACAATCTACATAAGTGAAGTGCAACTGAAGCCCACTGCCAGTTAGGTTTGGATGTTCGTTCCTTCCAGAAGAGATAACGCTGGAATTATTCTGCGAAACAAGGTTATTCTTTGACCAATTCAGTAAAAAAGAGCAGAACAGCTAGCTTGTTATTGTTTGGATCAAACTACATCAACAAAAAGGCAACCAAACCACTAACACTAATGTCCATACAAGCTTATAAGCTAAGAAGTGACCTGTCAACAATACTGTACTGTATGTTCAGCGAAGGCAATTCCTACACGGTGTTGTAACGTCGGCTCGTTGTTGAATCTGAACGAAAGGGTGTTAAACACGGATGGCGCGTAGTACCGTTGCTCCAAGAAAGAAAAAGAAAGTAATGAGAGCAATTTAAATGGGTAAGTGGGTAACCTAATAAAAATATTTCAAACTAGATCCCTTTTCTGACATCCTCAACAGGGCTTATATTGGAGAAACAGAGTTAGCGAGAAAACTAGCCCACCTGATATATGTCAGCAACCAGTTCAATAATGATACGGAGAGATTTCAAAGCTCTTCAGAGGGTGGTACTTCCTCATCAGAACCCCAACCCCAACCACTTCCACTCTCGTCACTGCTGGGATTCTCGACAACATCTTTCGCTGACGATGACTGATACTCGTTTGCAGCTATATACTCCTCGCTATTTTTCTCCTCACTAACCTTCTCTTCTTCGTCTTCGCCAGTAACAAAATCCTTGACTTCTGAAGTGATCAATTGTATTGCTTTAATTATATCATAGGTCATAAGAGCAACCCTGCTCCCAGCCCAGCTCCCCACTTGAGATCCAAGAAGATAGCCAACACGCCCAAGTCTATTCTCTCCCTGCACATGAACAAAATTATTAGCACTGGTGATTGCAAAAACCTACGCAAGGAGCTTGAACAATATTTTGTATGATTTTTGTGTTAAAATTCCATTTTGAAATATAAAAAGAATGCACCCAAGAAATTATTACTTGATGTTGAGGAAAATGCTACAAAGTTCAAACTAAGTTGCATATGACACTTTGGATAAAATAAATAGATAAAATGCACAGAAGGTACACAATAACTTTTATGTAAGCATCAAAATAATCTATTACAGGATCGGGGTATAAAGGCTGTATGAGTACTGAATCAAGAACAAAAACTTAGCCTCAAGCTAGCAGACTCGAAATCCACACAAAATTCTCAAGGCAGTGCCTGTAATCTTAAACTTAGCGAGAGGATAACGAGATGGGGTATGCTAACAATACTTACCAGTACGCCTCCATACCAAGTCCCGCAGAGTGTGCCAGTTGCCCGCATTGAGACCTCAGCAAAACTCCCACCATAGTAAAGAACCTCTAAACCATCCCAGACAGCTGCAAACAGAGGTCCGAATATTCTCCGAGCCTGCTTTTTCGTGTCCTTTGCAGCAAGGTCCGCTATACTTTGAGCCTTCCTCGCAGCTTCTGTCATTCCCAAGCCATCTGAGATTAATGCCTGCAGGGCATTCTGATATGCCCTTTGCTTGGAATGTTCTACTATACTTGCACGAATGTTGTTGGTGTACAGCTTCGAGCCCTGTTTCACCGCACATGTTAAGGAACCAAAGCCTAAGTCGAGGCAGTCACCAAAATCATCCTTGCCGGTTTTTGAAGCAATCTCATCTCCTAATTGTCTCCTCGCTTCTTTGGCTGAACTCAAAGAAATGCCAAATGTCGCCGAAAGCAAACTGAGCATTAGAAAGCTGTACCTCTATCAAAGCAGTGGTTAAGCATACTACAAGAGAAATTGAAGAAATGATAACCCCGTGCCAACACGAAAACAAGACGACATGAAACGGAAGCCGCAGGTTGGTTTTGTAACGTTAATACTGCCTCAGTGAAGTGGATAAAAGAGGATGATAAATACACACCTCCTAGGTGCAGAAGATAAAAGACAAGAATAAACGCCGTCCACAGAACAAGATTTCTCCGCCACTGTGGCTTAGGGTGCTCTTGAACCGATGACTGAGCCATGTTCTAATTTCCTCCACACTGCAATCGTAACAGCAGTTAAAAGTGTCAAGGGCATGGAATATTACATTTCGATAAAATGAAAATTGGGAAAATAAAAATAAAAATCCAACGTACGCACATAACGGATCTAACTTGATGAATCTAGTAAATGGATTAAAAGAGCCAGTGGAATGTTCCACGACTTAACAAACGCCGCGAGAATTAGTGCAACACTGTGAAAAATTGAAAAACCCTTCCAACGTATACATGACTCACACTACAACAGGAAAACCACGACAACTAGCAAATCGCAACGTCCATCAGGCAACAGAAAGCGAAATTAGCATTAATTCCTAGACTTCTTAGATCTCCACCTCTTTCACAAGCAGCAGATTGTGCCCTTGCGAACATGTAATCGACGTCTTGCGTCTATTTACTTACTCCGCGCATGGTCTAAAAGCTTTTTTTAAAGCCTCCATCAGTTATTTGCACTACAAGCTGTTTTAAAGCTAGACAAACCTAATGATTCCTCCTCCATTGAAAATGTACACTTAACGCTTACAAACTCTGACAGCTGATTTTCGCTGAAGGAGATCTTAGGCCATCTCTGCAACCCCGACACCTAAACCTCTAACATGCACAACTTATCCGCAATTTTCGGCACATAGAATAGCACTCAAAACCTGCTTCAAAAAAAAGAACATACTAAGAATCAGTGTCTCATAGGTTGCAGTCTAATGCTACAAACCAACACAGAAAAAGCCTTAAAACCAGAAGAGAAAGTGCATGTGAAGAAACACAACCAGAACTTCTCCGCTACTGGACCACACAATTAGAAACTAAATTGACAAGAATTACACAGAAAAAGAGGGAATTACAATGCGAAGGAGATTCTATCAGTGCACGAGGGAGATTCAGCGTCCACCTACTACGCAGTCTACAAATCGCAGTCCGCGGGGCACAAAATTGACAAGGCTGCGGAGAAAGGTGATCGACGAGACGTGGTAGAAGACCCAGGGGGGGGTCCAAGCCTCTTCCACAACGATGGATGAATAGAAGAACGAATGACGTATATCTACTGACCTTCATCCTTCACGCAATTCAAACATTGAACTTTCAAAATGAGATCCCGACTTAAATATCCAATCAGTTAGTAAAAATTTTTAAAACTCCTTCCTCCTAGATAACTTCATGACCTTCGAGAGGATATTCATACTCCGTCGTATGTATTTATGTATAATGATACCAAGGTATACTACAGCGGGCATCAAGTTGACGTATACTACATGAGGGCTACGAAACCACGTGGCTCCTCCTGGCAGGGATTTCAGATATCAGCGTTTATTAAGGGAAAGCACCAGATGTCATGTTCGCTCGAGTCCAGCCGATGGTCGAATGGGAGCAACCAGGTGGCCTGCGCTTTTTGGACACCTTTTTAATTCACTGATAAAAATGCGCAACCGTTTTGACCGGCAACGGCGGGAACGGGCTGCGTGTCTCGACAGCCCAGCCGTGCCCGGGGGGGTGGACAAACATCTATTGCCCATCATCATCCATGCTCACACTCCACACGCTTATCGAGAATGTTCCGCGAGTATAATGAAAAATAAATATATTCAATATCGAAAGTCACCATTAAAGAATCAGTTCATTTTATTTAAGACCACTCTTCATTTTATTCACACTGTCTTCCTATAAAACCAATATCTCAAAATCAGCATTCTTATATTAAATAACGTAAAGGGCCAAATCTTAAAGCAAGGATTTGATCAATGCACTCGGAGGGAGGGCACGGATGGATGAATAAGGACAATGAAGAGGGGAGATGAACAAGGATGAACACGATGCGGATGAGTGAAGAATTGCCGCTTCCACCGTGGAGCTTCGGGGCCTTCTTCAGGGCTGTCTGGTGAGAATGCAGCCGGTAGTCCATGGATTTGCATCTGTACGAAGAAGAAGATAGATGGAGCCTCCTCCTCCCCAGCCAGAGAGTATGTGTGTCTTGTTTGCTGTGTCGGTCGTCGTTTTATAGTTTATTTTTGTTGGTTGTGTGCGAAGGTGTCTGGTCACTTCAGTGTGTCAGTATTCGGCTTTTTAGGTTGCAGCTGCGGGGGGGGGGGGGGGGGGGGGTTAATTTTTTTTAAAAGTGAGCGCTGGTTTGGCTGTTTCTAGGGTGTTTGTGTTTGTTAGCCGATTGTTGCTTGCGATTGACTGGCTTGGGACTGAGGAGAGTTCTGTTCGTAAGCTGTGCGTGGCACTGCGAACGAATTTTCCTTCACTAGACTGTGAGTGATTCGCAGTTTTTGGTGAGTGGTAATTTGCGTATGCTGTGTTGGTGTCTGGCTTAGTTTTCTTGCCGTGGGAGTTTTAGAACCCGTTGAGGGTGATTAATTTGAATATATTTTTTGTTTTATCGCATACGGAGAGTGCGTGGACTGGTGTGTGTGGGAGACAACTTGGAGCTGTACAAAGCGGTGCTCTTCTTGTGGCTTGATAATATGTGTTTGATCCTATTCTTGTTTTATTGTTTATCCGTGGTTTATTAGAGCAAGCACAAGTTCTTGACTGTGGTTCATTTGCCTCAGGGAGGTTGCAGGGAGCTTGGAAACAATGGAAGTGATAATTACTGATCGAATCGATAGGAGGAGGAGGACATCACCCTTGGGACCTAGCAATTAGTGCTGTGGTACAAAGTGTGAAGAGGATATCGATTCCTTTTTGTGTGGCTTATCATTCATGAAGTTTGGTTTCGAGGAAGTGAATGCCAGGTCGGGAAAATCTAGGTCTCATTGCGTGAGATTGTCCCGGATTCTGGAGAGAAACAAGGCCCGTGCTTAGTACTATCGATCAAACCTCGAAGAGAAAGTTGGAATGCACTGACTGTCCAATTAGTATAGGACGAAATCCGGTAACACCTACACTATCTTAAATGCATCTAGTGCACGATCTCCTGGAGTTGCTAGAGAAGGTAATACACCTTGATTCACTGTGTCCAGAAGAGCTCTTTTTGAACAAAATTTGCTTACTTGTCAGCAGTCATTGATCACTCGAATATTCAAGAAGGGATACAAAGCTTTATATTTGATACCGCCGATCGGATCCTGAAAAAGAGGTCGGATGTGTGTAATGAGACAGGGTTAAAAATTTTGGAGAAGAAAGGGGGAATGGAGGAGGAGAATACTGCTGCAGACGTTCCGACCCGGCAGGGGAATGGAACAGGTACTCGCCAACGCAACAAAGAGGCATTACAAAGATTGAATTTGGAAAATGTCACGAGAAATTTAATTTTGAGACAGATCCGGGAATACACAGTGGACATCGGTGTACCCTTGATGACGTTGCTGCAGGGATGTTTGGAAACAGAACATGGACGCTCCTCCATTGTTGCACTCTCGGGGTACGTTGAGCATTTCGAGAGTAGGCTTGAGGAAGACCTTGGTTGGGGCTGTGGATGGCGTAACATTCAGATGCTGAGCTCTTATATGCTTGCTCAGGATTCAGAGTCTAAAGACGTCTTGTTTGGTGGGGCGGGCTTCATTCCGGATATTCCTGCGATTCAACAATGGCTGGAAATCGCGTGGCTGAAAGGGTTTGATGTCTTAGGTGCAGATTATTTTGATTGGAAAATTTCGGGCACTCAAAAATGGATTGGAACGACAGAGTGCGCTACAGTGCTGCGTTCGTTCGGCATGCGAGCACGTATCATGGACTTTCGCATCGCGAGTAGCAAACGAGCGGCGGGTGGTATGAGAGGCAAGGGCGGCTCGCATTTAGATCAACCTGGTGAATTGGATGAGGCGGATGACGTGTCAGGCAATTTCAGTCTCTTGAAAATTTCCAGCAGCCATCCTGAAGAGTGCTCTGATGACATCAATAATGAGTCTGATGATCAGAGTCCTCCCACCTCCGGTGAAGACGTCTCAGCGGAAGAGCGTCGTCTCATTGTACTTCCTGATCAGAAGGAAGAGCTGCATTTTTTACGACAAAGTCCGGACGACCCCAACATATGCCTCACATGTGTGGAAGAGCGCAAGAATAGTACATTTGCAAACCACCTGCACAGAGAGGATGATGCTGATTCAACCGCGTCCAACAAGGAAATGACAGAGCAAAACACATCTGGTGATTCTATCGCCGGCGGAGGGTGTGGAACGTACCTGCCTGATACAGACTCGAACCACAAGTACATGACCGACTGGATTTGGAATTATTTCCGCGCTGAAGGTGGCAGTTTCTGCAAGTCCATTTATCTCAGCAATCGTTCTCCGCTGTACTTTCAACATCGGGGCCATTCACGCACCATTGTTGGGATTGAGCGGTCCAAGAGAGAGGGCTCGTCCAAAGAGGAGGACTATTTGCTTGTGTTGGATCCATCACAGAGAACCCGGGACATTGTTAGGTCACTAGAAAGGAAACAGGGATGGGAGGAGCTTGTGAAACGCGGGATGCACTCGCTGAATCAATCTGAGTATCAGTTGTGCTACGTTGATCCTGGTATTGCCAAGGAAGAGGAATACGAGAGTTTAAAAACGCTCAGCAGTGTGCGGTACTTGTATTGATACGATTCGTTGGGTAGAGAAGTTCACCAATGCAAGTGCGTTCATTCCTCAGGTCGTTGCAGTTTCAAGATTCAGTCTGTTACAGCTGGTCGGATCACGGATGGTTGTAATATAATGTCATTGCAGTATGGTTTTAAGTGTAGAATGCGGGAAGTCTTCAAGTCCTTGGTTTCGTTAGCAGTAGCTCCATTTCACAAGCTTAGCATTCTTGGCCGCATGGAGTCTAATCTCTTCTAGACATAGAACACGCACTATTTCTGGTCAGGTCTGGACTTGAAAGTTAAGGTCCAAAGCAACTGCAATCCGACTTGTATGGGAAGAACTCTTCAGTCTATTTTAGACATCTTTATTTTGGTATGTTATTAATTCTGAAACCTCTTATTGGTTCGTCTGGCTCAATTCCTGTGATGATACCAGTGGGGACTTCGAAGGAGGAATATACTGATGCATTTGGATTTTATCATAGATGTTCTTGCAGCTATGAGAAAAGAAATGGCTGGGCTTGCATGATACCGTGAATATATGAAATATCATTCAGCAGCTCTTGCTACGTCTTTCAGGTGCGTGGTGACTTAATATCGCAAACATCTTAATCTTAGTTACTAACATGAAAGGTCTACTTGGGCTTTGAATGTGATCTGTAAGATGTTCGCTTTGCATAAAGACGGATACTTGGAAAGCATGTACTTCGACAAAACTGGTTTGATGATGGTTCTGCTTTGAAGTGCATTTCCATTCGGGGCAATCTGTAGTCCTGAGCATTTGCCGATTGTAACTCTTTTTTGATTTTTCTGCGAGGTGAAGAAGACGTATGATTGAATATCAAGCTAAAGACGTGGTGCGTGTATCTAAGATATTTATTTCATATGTTTACAACATGAGCATAGTAAAGCGATAGTCACTTCTTTTTGAATCATGAGTTGGTAGTAGGGTCTTGTATTAAAAGCTTTGCATGTCTGGTCTAGAATTTAAAACAAAACCATTAAATTAAGTGACGCATGGGTTGTTTGTCGGGAAGTTATTGTTCTATTTGTTGTGTTTAAGATGGATCTGAATGTGGTCATGTGATTTGGATTGTGCTTTCAATTCCTGTTTGTTGGATGGTGTGTCCAGTTCCGGAGTCGGGGCTGTCATCCTTTAGCTTGTCGAGCATATGTGTATTTTCCAAGGCCAGCCCTGGTCTGAAACTTGTTACATCGGAAATAGGACGTTGCTAAGAATGATTTAAATCCATGTGTTAGCATGTTTGCTTTCTTTGATAATCTAGAGAATTTGCAGTGTATTAATTTGAATAGATAGTCTTTTCATTCCTTCTGTTGGGATTAAGATGCTGATGGTAAGTAAAATATGCTGTCTTATAGAAAAACCTACTTGACCTAAGAGGTGGCAGGCCCAAGTCGTTCTTCAAACCCCTGGTGCTTAACATAGACAAGAATTCATGAACATAGGACAGCTGCATGTTACTAGCCATTGTAGTAAATTTCCGCTACAAAGAGACGCAAACATGGCACCATATTATCAGGACACAGGTTTGCTCCACTGTATCCTTTGACCTATCTGTAAAAGCAGTCAGTATATGTCTACAGTATTCCTAGCAAAAGCAACGTTCTGACAACTACTATTGAAAAGAGTATTGCAGTACAATCTTGTTGATGAACTGACAACATGACCTCCAAAAGGATTATGGGCATTTGTTGTTGCTCGAACCAAAGTCACCATCCCGGGGTGCTCATGGGCCATTTTCATGAGTGAGGTGTTGGCATTTGTCTAACACTTTCCCTAGCTTAAACATTCCATCAATCTGACCTCTTCACTCTAACATTTACAAAACATGGAGCCTTCAAATGTGTTCTAATTTCAATCAGAATGCACCTCAAAACAACCTTTAATACATTAATGAATTCACTACTCATTATTTGCACTCCACTGAAAGTACAACCAAGTCTTGATCCTCACAAAAGGATTCGTTAGAAGCTTTTGACAGTTGAGTCGTCATTTTGCTCATGTCAAAAGAAGCGATTTACGAGAAACAATTGTTATAAGTTTTGAAGAGTGTTTTTAATGACCATCGAGATGTTTTTTTAAAAGCAATTTTTGAGTTTGTTGTTAGCCATTAAATGGTGGTGCCTAACCAAAATTTGCACTTCATTTGTACTCGTTGACTTTCGTGACAAAAGTAGAAATGATCAACTGGTTTGTGCAATTATTAAAGGGCAAATTAACCTGCTTCGAATTCAGGGAATGTCATGAAACGAGATGATAGATTTCAGTTGCGGCAGTTCTGCACCCAATTGCATTACAATGAAGCTTACGGTTCATGCATTCACAAGCTGATCGGTGTTGTCGATGAGGTTGCTGACTTCGGAGGAAGTATTACGTTACCGTTTCATTGATTTTTCTGATTGAAGACCAAAAAACAAAACAAAAATAAAATGTTGCAGATGTGTTAATGTCCGAAACAATAGCCTCAGCTTCTGTCAGTTGCATCTGACGCTCAAAATACAAGTACTAATTTAGATCAACAATCAGAAGGGTCTCGCAAATTTCAGAGCGGCTCGGAAGAAACAGCATCTCTGACTCATCTTAAATCGTAACTGAAGACTAGACCGTGTCACGAAACAAAAAAAAAAAAAATCACGAAACCTTGCAGAGTTGAAAGGTGGGGCCAAAAATGGAGGTAAGAACATGATCTTTTATGACAGTTTTTTCACAAAAAAGCAGGAAAAAATTAACAAAAGAGATGTGTACTCAAGTATGCGCCCTTCCAGGGGTTTCTCATCAAACCCAATCGTCGACAGGAGCTCCAGCTTTTCGTCACAAGAGGTCACGAGTTGCCGAAGGAAGTGGAGAGGCCTTGAAAAGGAGGAGGAAAAAGAAGAAGACGAAGAAGAAGAGGGCCCCAATACAACTGCTGTATATTTGTAGTCTACCGACACCTGTCTGAATGTTACCTCAAGCCAGCGAACAGGATAGGAGGAAGAAGAATTTTTTTAAAAGGGGGGCAAGACTGGACTATGGCAGGTTGATCCTGCTTGCGGCCGCCACTGATCTACCAGGTCGGTGGTATGTCATCCAACACTTGGCAGTCCGGGCGTCGTTGAAAGGGAAAACCCGAAACCAAAACAAAAGTAGAAAGGCTGTCCCTCTTGTCGTTGCTGTATGGGAAAACAAAAACTATGCCGAAATTCAATCAGTCATCGGATGCTCTTATACCCTTACCCTACGACGTCAAGACTTATGGTGACTGATTACAATGGCTGCATCGATGTCATCGCTAAAATACACCTCATGTCCAAACTGCCTCCCCTGACTCTGAGGCATTGGTGCAGGGTTTGTGGTGATGCTGGAGCTCCGGCGATTGAGGCTGCAAAGGCGAAGACATTTCTGGGGGTTGAGAAGGCGGGGTGGCCTGGGGTTCAACCTTCAATGTGGGTGCATTGTTAGCTGCTTGCTGCATCCGCATGCACAGTATCTCTGCATTCGCGACAGCCAACTGGTTCTGTAAAAACGCGATTCGCTGCTGTAGAGAGGAGATTGCGCCAACGCAGCCGTAAACAGGATCCCTCACGCGTGCGTCCGCCTCGTACACCATGGAGCTCACAGCATCCCCTCGTTGATGCACGGGCAGGTCCTGAGATTGACCAACAATCAGATCCTTTGTCAGACCACCATTCGGCATCGCAAAGAACGAAAAATAAATAAATAAATAAATAAATAAACTAGTAAGCCTCGCAGCGTTCAACTAAGCATGTGAGTTTTTTATGGCATGAAACCAGGCCACTTGAAATTGCAGACCAAGGAAGGGTATGCCTTGCAATAGTCACTAAGTGGAAGGATGTCAACGTCTCTACACAGATTCTAGAGTCTCTTAAATCAGAATAACAAGGTCTTCCGATAGTAACTGCCGATATCAATGTGAGAAGAAGAAATTCAAGCAACTGTGGATGGTCAATCACCCTATGCAAGTCAATTGTAGTAGGCATCACCGTTGGGTGCGCGACTCCATATCAAACAGAAATTCCATGATTATTTCGAAAAGACGCTACAGCCATATCTGCTAACAATTGTGCGATAAATGTTCGAAATACCAGTGACTAGACGCGGCCGGCGCTCAGGGAAGAGACTTACATGAAGCATTTTGTTGACATTAGCAGCCCCAAAAACTTTGTGCACGTTGGCGAACTTCTGAGGCTCGTCGGGAGGGAAGTACGGCGCAAACACACAATCGCGGGCACATCTTCGTCGAAGCAGTTTGCATGCGGCACACGGCGACATCCCCGACCCCATCTTTGAGAGCATTCCTTGGAACCAAAACTGCGCTAGAGGTGGGCACAGGCAATCAGCGCTCCAACGCCAATCAACCGTACATACGGTATCCCGTCTAGTCACCAAGCCTGCAATAGCTTCTCACATCTCCTTCGCGGCAAAAGGGTAACGCTAGAATAGAATAAACAAGTGGATCAGAGCTTGAAATTTTGGGAAGAAAATAAAGAGCGTTATGCTAGTGCTGTAGCCCACGAGAAAACCTTGTGAACATCTTAGGGAATTTCTCGACAAATGCTTGGTCGCTCTTAAGGCACTCTTGCGCTCCTCACAGACTTGTAATACAAATGGCCCGCGATTCCCCGCAGATTTCAAAATGAGCCCCGCTCAACCCAGCTAGAAAATGCGTAGAAACGCAGAAACCCTTCCGCACGTCATGATGCCATGACAAGTTCTACGCTCAGATTCTCCAGAAGGTAGAATATAGTGCGAGATCAACACGGGAATTAGCGGCGTGCGCAGAAACACTGCTCCGAACCAAATCCCAACGACCCAGATTAAATAATTTTACTCCCAATGATGCGACAATAATGTCACACTCAGCAACAACGTCAACAACTGATTCCGGAATATCCTTCACCGTCGACGCATTGGCACGTAGATAACATCAAAGTCACCAGAAATTTAATTATTATTATAAAAAAAACAAAAAAACTCTCTCTTTCTCGCTCTCCCTCTCACACACACTCACACACGCACATCAATTTCTCAAATCCCGACAGTTGACAGATACTGAGATGAGCTGATCGTGACGGAAAACTTTTTCCCAATCGCGACGAAATCCCTCAATTGAGATCATAGGTAGCCTACAACTCGCAGAAACCCGTCGAGAAGAAGAAGAAGAAGAAACATAAACCCCTTCACCCCGTCTCTGTCTCTCTGTCTCTTTAACTCACGCTCTCTCTCTCTCTCTCTCGCTCTCGTTCACTCGCTCTCTAGAGAAAAGGAACAAAGCAAATCCTGGTCAGTAAGCAAAACACAAGCAGAAGCGAGTAGTTCACAAATCCCGAGGAGGCGAAGGAGGGGGAGTAGTAGTAGTAGGAGTAGTAGGAGGAAATATCAAAGGAGGGGTGGAGGTGGGGCAGGGAAGGGCAGGGAGGGAGGGCCAAATCTCATAATGCTACTACCTACGACGATGATGTAACAGCAGCAGCAGCAGCCAATCTGACGCCGAAGACGAGTTCTGGTGACACTCATCATCATCATCGTCGTCGTCGTCGCAGCAGCAGCATCATCATCTCCTCGGGAGCCACAAAAAAGGAGCGCCGTGATGGAAAAAGAACGCAGCAAGTATGCATGCCAGGGTTTAAATAGAGGGAAACGAGGATGACGAGGCTTTGGGCCAACACAAAACAAAACAAAACACACACCTGGACTCCCCACTACACCGACAGTAACACCCCCCCCCCTCGCGGGCCCCACCTCCCGTCCCGACCCGGGGGCAGGAGTGGTACCCCTGCTGTTCCTCCCGCCCTGTTGTTCGTCATGAGAGCTGCTGATTTGCTTTGCCTGCTGCTACTGATTGGGTGTGGGAATGAATCATGCAGCGTGGCCATGTCCATCATGGATCATGCCCCCCCACAACCCCACCCCCTTGGTCTCTCTCTCGTGTGTGTCTCTGCCTGTCCCGGCCCGGTTCCGCAGCAGCGGGGGGAGGGGGGTTTATCGACATCGCTGCTGCTGCTGGTTGTAATGACGAAGAAAGGAGGAGGTGGGGGGTGTCGTGGCGGGGTGTCTCTCTCCTTTCCTGGCACCATCCTCTGCCCCCTCCCGGCGTTGACAAATTACCCTCCCGCCCGCCATGAAGCACAACAACAACAACAACAACAAGTGCTCAGTACATGGACTTGGTTGGATCCTGGTTATCATCCTCTACCCTCTCACTGCAACCCTTTACATCCTGCAAGAAGAAGAATTACCATCTCAATCCCAACTAAAACTAGTATTTGTTTTTAATGCTGTAAGTGAATATTTATAAATTATTTAATAAATAAATATGCATAGTTTGTTTTAGATTTTATGTATGTATGTATGTATTTATTTATGTATACTTTAAATTGTTTTTTTTTTTTTTTGGTTGTTTATGTGTTTAATGTCTAAATGATCCCATGTAGATATGTAGACTTTATGAACTGTGATTTTAATCCTAATTATTAATTTGAATTTTAAACTTATAATGAGATTTAGTAGCACATAATCTTATAATTATGATGCATGTTTATAATTCATTTTGTAATGGGATGTGACAAATAATACTACAAAATAAAAATTATATATATGTCTTAAAAAATATTAAAATATTATTTAAATGTTGTCACTTTAAAATCCCCTTTATACAAAGTAATTAATTGAACCTTTACCATTGCCATAGAAAATATGCAAAAAATTGATTAATTTTGTTTAAGGAACTATTTCTAAAGTTTAACCATAAGAAAGAATTTTTTTCGCTAAATCATTCAATCATATGTTTCATGTAGAGATTTATGGTTGTTGCTCAAAGATCAACACTTCCCTAAAAATCAACAAAATATAAGTCACAAAACTATGGAGAGCTTAAACTGCAAGTACAAGTAAGAGTGGAGTTGTGATGAAAGAGATACTATAATTAGTAAACATACTGTAAACAATATAATTACCAAGAGAAATAATGTCACTAACATACATATTTATTTTAATAATTACCTATATAATATGAATATGTAAAAATAAATAAAAAGATAAATTTGATAATATCTTGTAAAGAAGCTGCTTAGATGTTGGTTTGCTTTTATACATATCCATAGCTAATTGAAAGGTTTAAAACTTAGACAAAAAGTTAGCAATGTATCATGCATGTTAGTGACTTATGGTACAAGTTAGACATGTGGCATACATATAAGAAGCTTATCTTACAAGTTGAATTCTACAAGTTGGACATGTGTTGGAGATTCTATAGAATGTTATCATGTAGCTCCTAATTAGATACTATATATAGAAGCAAGACTGAGGCCTTCCTCATTCTTGTCAATTCCTTTATTGCTTCTAGTCTAGTTTCAAAGATCTCTAATTTTCTTATCTTTTTGGTAATACCCATTTTAGTTTCTTTTTAAAAATACATATTTACTTATTTCCTTTTTGTCATCTTTTTTTGAGAAACATCTATTTTATTTATTTGTATTCATCAAGTTCTTGGTCATGACTGATAGTGACAAAAAGTTCCATCACTATGTACTATATTAAAGAGCCTTTCTGCTAATAGTGACTATTCTGGTACATTGTGCATGGAGCTTATCTAGGACATGCTTATTAAGACAGCCAATTGGAAAACAAATTTGTCTCTTTGATTTATCTAATTTATTTATAGCTTCTTTAATGTATTTTATATAATAGATTATATATATATATATATATATATATATATATATAATATTTTTATAGATTTATCATAAATTTTATGATAATTTTTATATTTAAAATTATGTTATATATTAATTTAAATTATTTAATTAGTATAACTTAAAAGAATGATTTTTCTTTTCTTTTCTTTTCTACTTGTATGTTTTTTCTTTTAAATTATATTCAATGATGTGTATTTTAAATTAATTTTTTTAAAGAATAATATAGATTTCTATAAGAAAAAAAGAAAAAAAAGTAATATTAAAAAATTAAAGTTTACATCATATAAAAATAAGATAAATAAATAACTCTTTATTAAGTTTGTCATAATAATAAAAAAATTAGACCATTTCTTTACTGTAGATGCAAAAGTAAAAGATTAAAATATAAAAAAAGGTGTTGTATAAAATACTCAATAAATTATAAAACGTTATTGTATAGCTTGATTTTCTATGTAAAAATACATTGGATACCTAGCTGTAGAAAGTTTAGCTTTAATTTATTGGAAAAGTACCAATAAGTGATGTATACTTATTATAGAGTCAAATAAATATAATAATATCAAAAGATATTTTATCAAAAAAATATTTTATCAAAAAAATATTTAATCAAAAAAATATTTTATCAAAAAAATATTTTATATTTAAGAAGCTTTATATATAAGACTTTCTAAAGCATCTAGAAATGCCCTAACATCCTTTGCTATGCTAAGTCATAACTAATCATTTGTAAGTAAGGCTGATTTTGAATAAGCTCAAAGAAAACCTATAATCTCCTTACAAAAATCCATCTTTATACCATAATTTTTTCATAGCTCCACATCTCTATTTCTAATATGTATGTAAAGTCTTAGCTTCCAAAACTCCCTTTAATTTATATAAAATGCCCAAATTGTAGTAAAATCCTTTAAAATATTTTTCTCCCCCAAAAGATTTGTTTGTCTCCAAACTTTAGAAATTCATATCTCTTAATCTATCCATTCAATTTTTCTAAAATTTATAGATAATATAGACTTTATCCTTAAGTTTTTTTTAAAAAAAAAAAAAAAAAAAAAAAAAAAAAAAAACATAAATCTATTGCAAAAAATTTGAAAATTTAGAAATCCTAACAAGTACTTTAAACCCTAATTTACAAGTACATAAATACTATTTTCTTCATATCTCAAAAATCTAAAATCCAAATTCCACAAAATTTGTATATATAGTTTAGTAACATTATAATGCACATTTTTCAAAATGTTTAGTCAAAATCTTATCAAATTGCTCAAGATATAGCTCAAAACACAACCACTAGAAAATTGGGTCACTTATTGCCCTTAGATTGCAAGTGTTGACTTCAACTTTTTATATCTCCTTCATTCTAGCTTAGAATTCATCAAATAATATATATAAAAATATAGCCAAGAAAGTGCTATCTTTAACCCCAATCATTGATTCTTTATTTCTTTTTGTATGTGTGCATTATGTCCAAAAGAGTGACAATAGGTATAAAACCAACACCTTAACTTTGAGTGCCTATATCTCTTTCATAAAAACTCCAAATCACACAAAATTTGCACCAAAACCATAGCCAAAAATCTAAAATTCTGATCCTAGCCTCCCAAGTTCGAATGGCCTGAAAAAAATAACCCTAATTCCTAAAAAGGCCTCGGGCAACTTCCTTGAAGCCCATTGGGCATGCCTTTTGGTCAATAGCAATGGAGATTTTTAACATCCATCTCCATTCATCCATATAGATGCCTTAACTACCTTTTTTGCTACCAAAATCCCTCTCCAACCCTTTTTCTTACAAGATTTACATAATGTATGTTCTAAATACCAAATAAAAGAAATAAAACAAAATTTTAAGAATCACCAATGTCTAATAAAGGTGGCTCTAAATATATAAAACTATTATCAATATAAAATCAACTTCAATAATAGTCATTTTAAACTAACCACTTCAAAGTATTAATCCAATCACATTTTGTAACCAACTAGAATCTAATAACATGGCTTTCACTACATTATATAATAAATTATATATTAGATGTGTATATGCATTATTTTCACATGGTAGCTGAACCACAACACAACAACATTAACAAATTTCAATGCTAGAAAAAGACATTAGATTGTGTTTTATTTAAAAAATCGAACTAAATTATCAAATGCATGTGTGTGAATAAACAAATTTTACTTGCATAATAAATATGCTGCTTCATTTATTGAAAATTAAAATTCATGTTTCTAATGGTCTTTCCACCAAAAGTTATACAACTTATGTAAATCAACTTGTATACAACAATTTATTTTAGGATAATATTAATTCAACCCACCTAAATTTTAAATCAACTCACCACATGACTTTGTAATTTGAAATCACCACAAAGCTCTTCCTAGCTAGATGGTTTTTCAACCTAAGTGATTTGTCCATTAATTCAAGCAAACAACTTTAGATGTCCTCTTCTTGGTGGGATGCTAGTACCTTATGTATACTATTCACACCTTATGTATACTATTCACAATGGTCATGAGGAACATTGGATGTTTGGACTCCAAGTGTTTGTGGTGCCATGGTGATCAATTTAAGATTTAGGGGGATCAATTTAATGTTCCCTTATTTTAAATAGAATGAATACTTTTTTTAATGGAAATTTACAAAATGCTAGTTTCAGGCATTCACATAACCACATTTTTGGGAAAATAATCTAATTAAGATAATAGCTCATTTTGACATTCTCACAATAGAAATTCCTAAAAATAATGTGGGCTGAACTCACAATTCGAACTACCCACCGTATACCTAAGATTCACACCACTCATACTGCCTGCAAGAAAAACAAAGAGCTGTTCAACAAATAATTCCAGTTACCCTTCACAACTTCCAGCAAAGTTGAAAAACACTTATTTATCATTAACATCTTGTGAGACCATTCCGAGTTTTTCTTTCTCTCTTTCATTCTTTCTTCTACATCTGCTTTATTTAGGTAACTTCTAGTTTAAGAGAAGAGTTTTCCACGTCAACAGAAACAAGTCTCCACTTTATCTTGGGTCAACATCCTCACATCAACCTTGAACCATTCGGACTCTGAGCTAGAGTTTGTGACCGAAGCAACCCAAATGTCTGGACCCTGTCAGCTGGCATGTTGACTGCCACCCAGTGAAGTAAATCTGGAGACATGCAAAAAAATTTAACTCCGAGCAAAAAGGTCGGCCTGGCATGATCATTAAGCTGAAAGCGTGAAACCTGCAGTCACTGGCCTGGGCTTCTGGGTGAGACGGCTACGTGATCCAAGCACGAACTGAAAGATGGTTCACTTTGAACCTCAAAAGAAATGTATGAAATCATCAATAGTTGAACGTATCCTACACATGACTCCATACACGCACAACTGGGTGAAAGAAAAGCAAGCTTGCACACTTTTTGGCAAACTTGAGCATATATTAACATAACTTGAACCATCCGTTTTGTACAAAAGGTAATAGCTATGGAGAGTCTGCAAGGTATCGTAACACTAAGTGAATTTGTTTGGGGATTTACAGTGCTGACCACGGTGGTTGGGGCAAAACTATCGACTCACTCACAATCCACACGCAAACATTCTCCTGCCATCTCAAAGAGACTACTTGATATTTGGTGGCAGCGAGCAAAACTACAACTGCCTACTAACATGGGAAAAGCTGCAGAGGTATACATCTTTTCTTCCATGTTGCCACTTCGTTTCATAAACCTAAGGAAATTTTCTTGGTCCTTGATGCGAACTTCACTTGTTGATGAGACCAACCTCTTAAACTAATAGGTGCCCACAGAGGCGGGTTGGAGTGAAAGTATTGGAATCCGAGGCATGAGAGTATCGCATCGGTTCTGCACCTGACGAGTCTGTTTTGACCCTGAATCATGCATGACAATGAAACGATATTGAAGTGATTTTTAAAGACTACAGGCTACAATCACTGGTAGAAGCATTTCAATATGAAAATATAATATTTGACCCTATTTTTTAACCTTTAAGATTAACCTGTACTCTGAGCATGTCATGGGCAATCCACACATCTTTTCTTCTTTTTCTTTTCATTTCTCCATTTAATTATATATAATAAAATGTAGATGAAAATGGGAAAGCTTACGTGAGAGATGAATCTATATGGCATTTGTGCAGCTGAAAAGCTGGCGTAACACGTTTACCGCAGCTGCATGGAATACCAGCCCAGTTGAAACTTCCCAATCTTGACTCACAATTCAAACATTGAAGCTTTCCTTCGTGCAATCCATCTCCGTCTTCAGTTTATGTTTTGCCAACATAGTGAAAATCAGAACAAAACAGCATACACTTACTTCTTACAAGCACAACATAACAAAAACTCTGAAGTAACAAATTTCACGCCTGCTACCAGCAAACAAATTAACAACACTGTTTACCATCAGTCTGATTAAGACTCGACAAAGTTCCTATAAACAAAAAGGATAACAATAAAAACTGCTTTACCTAGGTTCATCCATTGCATGGGCTCAACAAAAATGGATGTACATGCTGGATCATCGTGCTCTCCACCCCAACGCCGAACATCACGCCGTCTCCACCTGAAAGAGCTCTCACCAGAAACGGGTTCGTGAGGAATCACATTCTCCTGACAGGCCACCACTCGCTTGCACTTTTTGCAAGAATATTGCGCACTGGCCTGTGAAGAAGACACCCCAACATCTTCCTCAAACTTATTTGAGTTGACCGCGGGATCAGCAGCATAACGAGAGTTTTCGATCTTCTCCCCCCTCCAAAAGGCTTCGTCTGGATCGCAAAAATCCTATTAATATCTTGCTCCATGCTAAGTGAAGCTCCTAGCTTTCACTATTAAATGATTAGACATGCTTACCGAGATTTTCAAGATGGAATTTCTTGAAAGACAAGTTCTTCCTGTCCACAACGTAGCCCATTTCCTCAAATAGTTGCAACTGCAAGAGACAATCGAATCAAATGAGTAATGCTACTCAAATTTTACAGATTAAGAAGCTGCAGGAAATTGCATCACGTCCAAGGTCGAATTTTCAATGTACCAGAATATCAATCAAACAAGTCATGCAAATAAATACTAAGAGCAGAAAAACATGCATCCAACAAGTATCATAGGCTAAGCACCACAAGGTCTGTGAAATACCTGCTGCATAAACCCATAATTTGGGTAGACTTTACTGCTCACTTGCTGTAAGGATGCTGATGCTTCTGCGTAACAAGAAGAAAAAAAAAAAAAAAAAACAAACAAACAAACAAACAAACAAAAAATCAATACACCGCGAGAGGTAAGGAACAATCAGAAAGTTGCACGTCGAGATTATTTCACACACACACACACACAAATATATATATATATATATAAAATAAAATCGGTGCAAGGTATTGTGACATGAGTAGGGCAGATTTCCCACTGATCTACCCGTAAAAGCTTCAATATCGGTTCCAACAACTGAAATCACAACTTAAACAGTGATCTGGAAAAGAAAAAGTAAAAAACAGTTTAAAGAAGCGAACCATCTACTGTGAGGCGTTCCAAGCGCATCAGATACGCTGTAATGACAGCCGCACTGCACAATTTAAGAACAGCACTATGTTGAAAGGTTTGCAACACAGGATTCACAAATAGCTTCAAGCATGTTCGACGCCAGAGGAGCTCAATTGAGCAGTCCATCTACCTACAAGATAACGATTCTCTTGCTATGAATATCACCAAGTTCCACGAAGACCAGTAGGAACGTATCAAGTGGAGAACCTCTCGACGCATAAAATCCCTTGATCCACAAAGATAATCCCACATAAATATGCGAGGATTCCACAAACGTAAACGAAGAAATGGGTTTAAGCACTTGCCTACGAGAGACTCCGGCAACACAATGAACAAGAACACTGCCATTACTCCTGCCATTCTCAATGAACTCAAGACATCCCTCGAGATGATCCAACAAATTCTGTGATTCGATGTCACGGATGGGAACAATCTTCCTCTCGAGCTTGTCAACCTCAACGTTTGCAACATTGAGAACCCTAGGGCTGTCTTCGTCTGAGGCGGGTTGCTTGAACTCCAGCGGGTCCATGTTCGGCGTTATCAGGGACAACATGTGCGTAACAGGCGGATGTGATGATGTCAGTACTTCGGCAGCATCCTTAATGTTGCCTATGAACAATCTGTCACGAACTTTCTTCATCTTCTAATTCTTCACTTTTTTCGCTTGAGCGTCTACGTCTGGGAGCTTCTCCTAGCTATTCCACTTCCTGTTTCTGTGTAGAAGCAACTCTCCTGTTTCTTCTCACACAAGGCGCTGATAATGATTATACAGAAATAGACCACGAAGTGTAAGCTTTATCTTCACTTCTAGTCCAAGATCCCTTGGTTCGAAACGTCATAAGCACATAAAACCCTTTGCAAACTGAAACAACCGGGAAAATTCCAACGCAACAGAAGATGAGATATTCCCTCGAACAATTTCAAACGTAGAACCTCCAACCGAATCTAACCACTCCGACTCGTCACCCTGACAGGGTCAACAAAACGTCAATCTTCACAACTCACTGCAAACTCCACGACACTGTACAAAAATTCTCTTCTCCACGAACGTAAGAATTACCCATCCCAGCAAAACACCCTACAATATCATCAAACACGCCACCTCTCATCCACAAGGCAAAAAGAATTACATACCCAACTAAACAAAGGACCACCAATCCATCAACGCCACCTCTAAGAAGGGCCCCAAAACAGGAAAGAAAAAACCCGCTCGCTCGCTCGCTCACTCTCAACAACCCAGTGTTTTTTTATTTCCCACGGAGCAGCAGCAGGGCACCACCGGAGTACATTCACACACACCGCTTCAACCCCCCAATTCCAACTCCGTCCCACCGCAATAAACCTAGAAACACGCCAAATGCCACGTCCGACCCACAGCGCAAAAATCTGAGAGACAATCTGAGGGAATCCGCACCTGAGTCGCAACGTGGAGCGGGGCCCGTTTGTTAAGCGCAATGCCGGATTCGATCCCCCTTCACGAAAATCACTCAACGAATGCAAATCTCTCTCTCTCGCTCTCACACTCGCTCGCTTGCTGCGAGTCTCTCCGAACCACTAAGCCCGCCCTCCTTCCCTCTTTGTATCCCGCACACACCCCCCCCCCCACGGACGGACGGTCCCAGTGTTCGTTCACGGCGCCTGTTCGTTCGTTGGTCGCCGAGTCATGTTCGTTATGTGGTCTGGCTGGATAGATGAATTGATGGATGGATGAGGATGGGACTTGTCATTCGTGGAGGATGACCTACTTTTGCATGCCAAGTGTCGTGAATTAGTTCGATCGAAGCAGTGGTGAGGTATTGTGGTGAGTTGGACATTTGACTGCCACGTGGCGGAAAGTTTTGTTTTTACTTTATGTTGAGATTGTTGCTTTTAAGAGAAGAACCGAAGTTTTAAGTGAATTGGGTTTAAAATAGACTGTATCTGGAAGTCGGAAACATTTTCTTAAGTCAAACAACATGAGTTTAATATTAATAATAGTTGAGAGAGAGAGAGAGAAAAAAAAAAGATTCTTTGTGGGTCCCCCCCTCCCCCTTCCCTTTTCGTGTTGTGATTAACTTATGATGATGTCACTCTTCTAAAAACAAATTACTCATGTTATTGTGAATATCAACATGCGATTGTGTGTCTATGAAAATAAAACATAAAAGATCGTGAAACTGTTCTTGTAATGTAACACTTGAAATACATAACTTTAGTCTAGAACAAAATTGGACATGACTGGATTTTATTTATTTATTTATTTATCTATTTTTTGATTGGTTTGAATGTAGAGTTTATAAGAACTGAACACCCTGTTATTTATGTTATGTGTAGAATTCGTTATCTTATGCATTTAATAGATATGTGTGGGTGTGTATATGTATTTATATATGCACATACAGAAAAGTATTGGAACCTAATTTGTAGTTTAATATCATTTTATACACCATAAATTTGACTTGTTCAAGATTGGCTTGAGAAGGGTTACATACTTTGATTCATGAGAAAAAACAAATCTTAATTTTTTTTTACATGGAGTTTCAGAATTATGAAATAAATATGCATTGTGTAATGTGTCAATGTTGAATCATATCATAATCGTGTTAAAATTAAAAAGTTTATAGTGATGGGTTTTGATTTTTCTTTTTTAAGTTAATAACTTTAATGTAAGGTATTATGTATTGTTATCTATGGATAATTTTACTTAGATTTTGGGTACTTTTTAGATTATCTAATTAAAATGAGAAAACTTTTAATAAAAAGAATCTAATTAAAATGAGAAATCTTTTAATAGATGTTCCATAAAAATTTGATGTTTAAAAAGAATTTTGATTTTTTTTTGTAAAATACAAATCATTTACATAAAATTTCAGTATTTTGTAAGTTATTGTGTTATAGATTGCCACCTTGACAGATTAACACATGCTAATATTAAGATTGGTTATGAAATTTTTAAAGATTGAAACAAGATGTTAATATATTCAATTAGAATTAGATAATATTCACAATAAATATCAAAATTAAGATGTAATTACAATGTAAAAACCTTAGAATGTAAAAACCTTAGAGTTTAAAACAATCAAAATATTTGTCAATATACATCATGGACTCAAAAAAATCAATTAAAGTATTTGGAATAAAATCTGAAAGAACAATGCATGTCTTAAATTTTCAGTAGAGATCTTATTTTATTCTATTCTATTTTCTTTGCCTTTTTTATTTTTTATTTTTTATAATTAACATTGCATAAGTTATTAAATGATTGTTATTGAAATTGATAAGCAAGTGGAGGTTGATTCATCAGTACACACATTCCGTGTTTTTGTTCACCCAAAAATGCTCATACAGTAGAATTCATAACACATGCACTTGAGCTTATCTGTGTGCTATTCAACACATCCAACCTTACTATTGTACACACTATTATCTGAAAATATATAAAATAATGGAATATATATATATATATATATATATATAAGAACTAAATTATCATACATGAGCAGAATTATGTTCATATCACAAGAATGAGTAATTAAAAAAATTCATAAAGTTTTAAATGTCTTGTCTTTACTCTTCAAATGTATTGTATGATGTATTTATTTTATATTTTTATATTCTGTTTTATTCTCATACATACAAAAAAAAAAAAAAAAAAAAAAAATGTTAGCTTTATTTGCATTACAAATAAAAGGAAACCCTACATTACTATTGTATGCCTTTTTGTACTTTATACAATCTCTATTTACCTATATACAATCTATCTCAAGTATGGACATAATTTTACAATCATAATAAAGGAAAAATAAATAAAATAAAATAAAATAAAATAAAGTTCACTTAATTCTAAATTTTTTTTTTGAGAAATTTTTATTACAATTTTAAGAATAATTCTAAGTTGAAAATTTATGTATATGTTTATGTTTATTTTTTAATTTTTTTAAAAATTTTCTATTTTAATTTGATAGTATTTTCATGCATGAATTTCATTTTGTCATTCATTTAATCTTATTTAAGGCATAGATAATTTTAAAACGTGTATAAAATATACAAATAATATGTCTTCACAAGTCTTTTATAACTATATATATATATATATATATATATTTTTTCTTCCACAAACTCTTGAAAGCTCAAACACCATTGGTTCTTCAATGTGCAGAACATTCTCACAGATTTGTCCAGTGAAGGATAACAAATGGCTTTTTTCACTGTGCGTTCTATCCATTTCTGTATTGTGATCCCAAAGTAACAAAATGAATTTATTTCTATGACATCATAGACATTAAAACTTGATATATATTCATACACACACACACACACACACATATATATATATATATATATATACACACACATATATATATATATATATATATATACACACACACACATATATATATATATATATATATACACACACACACATATATATATATATATATATATATACATACATGAATTTTCTTTGTATCCACAAGAATACATTTTTCAACCAATATATCCATCAAATTTTATTAAATAAATGATTTATCTTTTATATTTAGCTTTTTACAGTAGCAATACAATAGAAAATTCACAAATCTCTTTGTGTGTCATAAAAGTTAGAAAAATCATTCTAGAATTCTCAAATTTGAGTATGATTAGGATTATATCAAATCCATTCAAATAAATGTCAAATTGATTCACTTTTGTTCTAACCATCTTGTGTCATGTCATATATTCTTCACTAATTCAAAAGTCGACCTTCCTTGCCAATCCCTAAATTTTGTATTTTTAGAAATTTTTATTTTTATTTTTATGTACAATTGTATCATAAGTGCAGAATGGGTGGCCAAATTGATTGAGATTTTCTATTTTTTTATAACATGATCATGGAGAGTAAAATGTTGGAATGAAGTGAATGGGTAAGGTGGTTAGGATGTGGAATAGGATGGTAAGAGTAAAGGTGGGTTGATTTAAGATTTAAGTTACTAATCACCTATAATTATCATAGAACAATTTAGCATGTAATTCTACCATTCTTAGATAGTTGAAATGCTCAAGAAAGTGCTGTCAAGTATAATTTATTTGCTTATAGTATAACTTGCATTACTTTGCAAGTTTATTTATTGCTCAAACATACAAAATTCCTTAGAAGCGTAGTTTAAAGCATGTGAATACATAGAGGATAGTTATTGGTTATCTTTAAAAAAATATTAGCTTTAGTCTGTGTAAACATAAATAATTCATTTATTTATTTATTTATTACTATAGAATATTTACACCTATTTCTTGGAAAGTTCAAAGTTTGAATATAGAAAGCTATTTTGACTAAAATATATAGAATGAGATATTTGTAGAAAATATGTTGATTAGAAACAAAAATATTTCAACTTTTATATATCCATTTTTTCAAATGTTCAGTGGCATAGAAATTCATGAATGTACAAGCTTTGGAAAAATTGCAATTTAAATGGTCTAATTGCTTAAATGTGCAAAAAAAAAAATTGTGATTTATACAATTTCGTGTGAACTCACATGCTCAACGAATTTTATGGAATTCATGAGCAATACAAGTGAGACATATCTTTAAAAACATGCTCACATTGTGTTGAGAAAGCTATAGGTTTATTATACACTTACTACCACAATCCACAATAAGTATAGTGAGATGGATAAATATTAAAAAAGAAGAAAGTATAAAACAAAAAAAGAATATAGAAAATGAACAGGAGAATATAATTGTTTAATGTAAAATAATATATTATAAAAATTAAAGAGTAATCAAAACTTTATTTTAAAATAATTGATATATATATATATATATATATATATATATATACATATATAAATATATATACTATATTTTAGATTTTTCAAATATTTTGAAGTCTCAAATAAGTTTCTCTATCATATTTATTCTCAAAACCACATCATAATCTTTTATAACTACTTATGATATATATATATATATATATATATATTTTTTTTTAATTAAAATTTTCTTATATGTATATTTATACTTAATAAAGCTGACTCCTTCTTTGTATATTTCTCAATACATCATACAAGGTTGATTATGGTAGTAATATGTAAGATTGTTTTTGAATTTTTATTTATTTATGTGCGTGATTTAAATAATAAAACTTTCAGATAAATAAAACTCAATATGAAAATAAAAAATAAAAAAATTAATGTAACTAAATTTAAGTAAACATTGAATATTAAATTAAAATACTATATATATATATATTTAAATATTTAATATTTAATAGCTATTACAAAAAATGATATTCAACATTCTATCTATGAGAGTGAATAATGTGTAAGGCTTCACAAATGCTACCTGTGACATAATAATATTGAACTTGATGCTCAAGTTTTTGCTACAATAGAAAACATGAATAAGCTTTTTCAATACTATTAAAAAAAAAGGTACCTGAGAAG